TATCCCAATGAAGCCCTCCCCCTCTTCACCCCAGGGATGCCTCCATCTAGCCCACCTGTGGGCATCCTGCCCTGGTGCCTGCCGTGTCCCCAGCACAGCCTGGGTGCTGAGCAGGTGGGTGGGAAGCCTGGGAACCCAGCCGTGCTGCACGGAGCCTCTGCCTTAGGGCCCACCCTCCCTGTGCCGAGCTCAGCACCCCTCCTTTCCCGTGGGTCTGGGCTGCAGGCAGGCATGAGGAGTCCACCTTTGTATCTCCCCAAGGGGAGGCTGGGAGGCTGGCCACCTCCTCTGTGCTCCCCCCTGACTGCAGAAAACCTCCATGCCTTTTCTTCTCTCTGCCAGGGGGCTCCTGGCATCGCCGTGGCTGGAATGAAGGTCAGTGGAACGCTGAAACTCAACACTGAGGGGCAGGGGGGGACAGATGGAGAGAGGACAGAGTTGGGGCTTCAGGGGTTCTGAACCAAGGAGGGGGCAGGCAGGGTTGAGAAACATTTCTCCTAAAGCAGCATTGTTGCCAGATGCAATGTCGGATGCATGCATACATAACTCGAACAGCCAGTGTCAGATGCATGCACTCATAACTCAAACAGCAAGTGTCAAATGCTTGCACACATAACTGGAACAGCCAGTGTCAGCTGCTTGCACACATAACTGGAACAGCCAATGTCAGGTGCATGCACACATAACAGGAAAAACCAATGTCTACAAAAGCCTTGCAAGGAAGTAACAAAGGGTTACCAGCCTCAGCCACAGGTATCACCCTCCTGCGATGTGCAGTGGAGCCAGAGTTTTCCTTCACACTCTGGAATTTAGCAGTTACAAGCTTGGAAAGCTTCTGGAAAAAAGCAGAATTCCTCCTCCTGAACCCCACCCTAACAGCCCATCTGGTTGGCAGGCAGATAGGTGGAAACACCTAGCAGTACAAGTACTCAGTGTGGCTCTCCCGGCAGGTCCCCTTACAGGAGGCATCATGTTGAAAGCAAATGCCCAATCCTCTCCCTCCCCCTGGTGTGCCTCACTGACACCCACTCCAGCCACCCATCACCTTGGGAGAGAGTAAGGAGCAGTCCAGGAGGCCTCTTTTGGCCTGTGGCTTGAGGTCTAAGCATAGGAAAGCCAAGGACTGGCCAGGTGCTTCACCTACCCCCAGAGTAGCTTTGCTCATTTGTCCTGCTCACTCTCCCGCTCTCTCTCTCCCTCTTATTTCCTTACCTGACTCTTCTTTTATTCCACACAGGGTGAACCAGGGACCCCAGGAGCCAAGGTACTGATACAGAGGAAATGATCTGGGCTGCATGGTTCCAGTGGAAGTGGGAGGGGCTGCTGCTATTTGGCTTTTGGTCCCCTGAGGCTGGCCCCGGGGTTGGGGACCTGACTGAACAGAGGAAGTTCTGCCAGGGAGGGGCCTGCTCGTCAGGATTGCACTGCAAATGCTTCCCTGCTCCCTGGATCTTGGCTGGACAGCTCAGCCAGTTTGCCTGCACACCTGCTCCCGTAGGCAGGAGCTATTGTCCCCTACACTTGCAGGGCTCTGTCTCTCTCATCTAACTCATTAAAAGATGTACCATGAAAAAAAGCTTCCATGGTCAAATACATTTGAGAAATATGGGATTAGAAATACTACGCTGGTTTCTTCACTGCAGGCCTTCTCAGAGCCTTTAAAATATGCTAAAAGTGCATTGGAAAGCTGTAACAAGGTAGTATCTTGTGAAGAATTTTCAAACTTTTTTGACCAGGGTATCTTTTTTTTCAGAGGAGCATCTTATGGGATTAGTATTCTGGAAACACTGGTCTATGGTTAATGTCCATTACAGCCCTCACAACAGCCCCCTCCACCCTCTTAAGAGTGACTTTCTCTTCTTACTCCAAAGGGAGACCCAGGAGCATCAGGGAAGCCGGGGCCCCTAGGTTTGCCGGGAAAGAGAGGGCAGAGGGTAGGATATTGTGTCTTTGAGAGTGCGCCCCCTTCATTTCGACCCCCACTGACCTCCCACTCCCTGCCCCCCATGGCTGATGTGCTGCTTGCTGATGTGCTATGGGTGCATGTGCCCCCAGGAAGAGGGGAGTGCTGGGACGGCCTACAAAGCTTCCAAAATCCCCACTTGAGAGCAACCCTCCCTCCTTCAAAGCCATGGTTACCTAGGAGGAAAGCCCAGCAGCAGGAAGGCCCTTCCTCCCTCCGTCCCCACTCCCCCAGGCCCGCTGTAGGCAGCACTGCATCCTTTCCTGGCCTGTTTCAGGGCACGCCCGGCTGGGGCAGAGCCCGGGCACAGCCAGGCAAAGCAGGGCCTCCTGGGCTCCCAAGACTTACTGTCCTCCCGTCACCTGGGTCCTTACCCAGCCTCCTCCCCTTCCTTGGCCAGCTTCAGGCCACTTTGTTATTCAGGACAGGAGATGACCCCCAGTGACTTGGTGTGGCTTCTTTTGTGGCTCCAGCTGGAAAAGTCATTGAGACATGGGAGCAAATTATGACCCAGGGTCCTCGATTTATATTATTACATGAACCGCCAGCCGTCAGACTATGGAGAGCAGAGCTCCTCGTGCTGACCTGGTGGGTGCTCTTGGGGATGGAGGGGTCTGCTGATGTGAGACATTGAACTCGAAGTGGAGTCTTGGTGGGTTAGAAACTGGAGCACCAGGAGCCCTGCATGCAAGACCAGCCCTGCCGCTGATGCAGAGAAGGCTGTTCACAGTCACGGAGCCTCTTCATCTGCACTGAGGGCTCTGTGGTTCACGTCAGGGGGGAAAAGAGGTCTTCGGGAGTGGAAGAAGCTGCTTGCGGAGGGGCATTCATTAGCTAGGGCTACCTACAAAGGACCACAAACTATGTGGCTTAAACCACAGGCGTTTATTGTCCCGCACTCTGGGGGCCAGTAGTCTGAGATGACGGTGTCAGCAGGGCTGGTTCCTTCTGTGGGCTGTGAGGGAGACTCTATTCCAGGCCTGTCTCCTGGTTCCTGGTGGTTTGCTGCCATCCTCGCTGTTCCTTGGCCTGTAGGAGCATCAGTCCACCTCTCCCTTCATCCTTACATTGTGTTCTCCCCGTGTGCATGTGTGTCCAAGGTTCCCCTCTTTATAAGGACACCGGTCATATTGGAGTAGGGGCTCACCTTACTCCAGCACGGCCTCATAACATAGATCATTACACCTCCAATGTAATCACACCTCCAATGTCCCTGTTTCCAAATAAGGATACATTTTGAGATACTCGGAGTTAGGACTTCAACATAAAAATTTGGAGGGGTGAAGGGGACACGATTGAACCCATAACAGGAGACGAGCTTCTCAAAATATTCCTCCAAAGAGAAGTTCTGGTCAGATGGTTCTTATCTTCTCTAGAGGCTGGGGGGAGGTGGGCAGAAGGCTCTCCCCGGAGACCAGGGGCCTCTAACTGCTAGCCATTATGATCATGAAAAGAGCATAGTGGCGAAAAGGAAGAGATTTCCCAAGTACTGGCATTCCACACTGCTCACCTCTCCCCAGGAGACCCCTAAGAGAGACTAATTGCTTTTGGCTCCTCTCCCTGAGTGAGTGATGCTGGCCCAGCCCACATGGGGACAGGGAAACAATGATGCAGGCTGTCACCCGTGTGAAGTGACCCAAGGAAGGGTTGGGCCCAGGTGGAGGCCCTTCAGGAAGTGGAGTCCTTCAGAAAACAGCCCACAGAGGGGCAGGGAGGTGGGCGAGAGGAAAGCCAAGGCCCAGCGCTGGCAGGGTGACACCTTCCCCTGCATCCTGGAGAAACCACTTCTGACTCCACACTGTCTGCGTTTCCTTTGCAGGGTGAAAAGGGTGCCACTGGCCCCCCTGGGCTGCTCAGCCTCCTGGGGCAGAAGGTAGGTATTGAGGAGCTCTGAGTGGTGAGTTCTGTGTGGGGGTCTGGATGCCCACCCCACCCACATTCCCGGCCCTGCACATTCACATGGGCCCAGCATTCGAGGAGTCGCTCCCAGATTTGGGGGAAAGCAGCCGGAACACAGTCAGATTCTGTTTCAGAGGAGGGGGGTATGAGGTACCACATGGGAGGCCCTGATTGGCCAAAAAATGCCCAAATTCAAAAAATTCAATAGCTATGTGACCTGGTCAGATTTCTTTGCACTGGCTCTGAAAATGTGCTTAGTGGTACATGAGCTCCCTACAATATTCCATTTGAGAAAAGACTAGAGGTCAGGTAAGTATGGGGAGAGTTGTGTAAGGTGGGCCCCCTTGGAAAGTCACAGGGCACCATCGCCTGTCAGAGCTCTGAGCACGCTGCAGTGAAAGAGTCTGCAAAGCTTCATTTCATTCTGCCTTTCCTAATGTTGTTTGACAACCAGACCCTTTTTTTTTTTTCACATTTCAAATATTTCCAACCCCCGAAGAAGTGTTCAGTGGAACACACTTTGAGAAACACTGCTCCAGACCCAGGTTCAGATGGGTCTCTTGTTTCAGCCTGAACCTGCTCCCCTTCAGTAGCCAGCTCCATTCTCTCCTCAAAACCAGAGGCTAGGTCAGACCAGGCCAGGCTTTGAAGGCCTCCGGTTCCCAGCCATCCTGGGGCCCACGGCTCCCTGATGCCCACCCCCACCCTTACCCCCACCAGGTTTACCTGAACTGCGAGGGAAAAAGACAGGGATCAGTCACCTCCCTCCAGAGCCAGGTGATGATACCTCTTACTTCCACCCCCAGGGAGAGAAAGGCGATGCTGGCAACTCCATTGGAGGAGGCAGAGGGGAGCCCGGCCCCCCAGGGCTCCCTGGGCCCCCAGGGCCAAAGGTGAGTCTTCCCCTGGCATGAGTGCTCAAGGCAGATGTTTGCCTGAAGTCTCTGTCCTCAGCCCATTCTTGGGGACGCTGTGTCCTGGGCACCTTGCCTTCTCTAGTCTTCTGCTCCAGATGTGTGGTTTTTCCAGTGGACTCTGGAAAGGTCATTTGGCATGAGCTCCTACTTCCAAGCAGTGACTGTGTGACCATCCAGGAGAGATGTCCACTCAGGACAGATGGATGGTCCCATTGATTCAAATGAGTAACTGAGTCAGGGACTGATGAAAGGCCCCTCCCCTAGGCTCTGAATAGGTCGCAGGTCAGTGAGCTGCTGGCCCTGCCTGGGGCTGGCACACTTTGGGGAGGAGGGGTGGTGGCAGTGGAGACAGCTGACTGCCCTCACTTTCCTTGCTCTTTGTGGAAACTGCAGTGGTATGATTCCGGTTTCCCAAAGCACATGCTCTTTGGTTATTTCAGCAGCACAGGGAAATGAGGGGGTGTCTTTCCAGCTTTGCCAAAGGTAGCCCCTCTGCCCAGGCTCCCAGACATCCCAAGTTTTGGAGTTTGACCCTCTGACCCCACAGGACATGGATATCCGGCACATTTTTGGTCTTGATTTGGGGTTAGAGAAACCTGGTCACTGTTGTCGGCACGCCCTGGGACAAAAGAAAGGGAAAGCTAGAAGGCTGTTCCCAAAATCATGTCCTCTTTCCAAGTCTAGTCAAATGTTTAATAAGTGACGTATTTGGGATGGGCCTCCTCCTACTCCCCTTCCACTCCTGTTCTAGGCTTCCTGGGCCCCCCTGCCTTCCCCCACGTACACACAGGCCCAGGGCCTTCACTCTCCCCTCATCTCCCAGGCAGGATGAGGGGTGCCTTTCACAAGTGTCTCAGGCTCAAAAATGACCAGCCAAGGGCTGCTGGCAGTCCACAGGTAGAGCCAAGACAGAGCTGGGCACATGTGTTAACCGAGAACTGAGGAGGGCTTGGCTGCGAGGGACAGGCGAGTGGTGCGGGGTGGACGCCAGCAAGTGGTGCAGGACGAAACTCAGAGGAGGAAGGGAGTAGATGAAAGGGCTGCCAGGAGGAGGTGAGACCCAGGCTGGGCCCAAGTGTGGGTAGGAGACAGACAGGTGGAAGGGGGTGAGTTAGTAGAATCCAGCAGATTAACAGATGTTGGCCCAAACACACTTAATACCCAGGGCATTAACAGCAGGACCATCTTTTGCCCCCTTGAACAGCTGTCCAAGCTGCCCTGCATGCCTTCACCCCATCTCTCTCCTTCCCCAGGGAGAAGCTGGTGTCCATGGCCAGGCTGGCCCTCCAGGAAAGCAGGGAGACAAGGTACAGAGGTCCCCAGATCTGAAAGCTGCAGGATGAGGGTCATCTTGGGAGTTCAAGCCACAGCTCAGAGATTAGCAGTTTGGCGTCCCTGCAGCTGGACCCCCCCAGGGCACAGGCTGACTGGCTATGACTCCTGCCTTCTGTCGGTCCACTGAGACAGCAGTCATGCAAACGCTGGCCCAGGGACAGTTCGCTGGGGCTGGGGAGTGACGGAGATCCCTTGCTCTGTGAGCTTTCCAACACTGGTGAAGGGTGATTCCCACTTCTCCCAGCTGCTCCCTAGGGAAGGGCCTGGTGGGTGCTGCTGTGTGCCTCACAGGTGCACGGTGACGGAAATGCCATGGGGCAGGGAGGTAGAGGGGCTGGTGACCTGGAGGTGGCAGTGGCTAGATGCCCCATGAGCTGGCCAACTGCAGTGTCCTCAGGAGTTGAGTTATATTAAAAGATTCAGTTTTCCTTTATTTTTACTTTCTATCTTATTTTTAAAATCTGTCTTCAATGTTAACATTATCCCAGAACAACTAAACTATGGTTTGTTTTCACAATTCACCCCACTGTCTCATTTATCCCCCATCATTCTGTCCCGTTTCCAACAGGAAAAAAATCCCCTCACTTCACCCACTCTTGGAGGCTGGGGGTTCCTAATACCATCCATTCCCCACCCCCTCCCATGTTTCATCCTGCAGTTTGGGTCTTTCACAAACAGAGGGGCCCCTAATATAACCGCATGGGCTTTTCATGGCAAATATTGACCCAGGCAATTGGCAGAAAGTTCCTGAGCCCTTGCTTCCTGAGCAGAATGGAAATGAAGAGAACCAAAGGGCCTGTCTCTGCTCCCAAGGAGGTGGCTGACAGGGTGCTGGGGAGAGGTGGCCAGACAGACACAGGTGGAGTCAGTAACAACTAACGCAGGACAGAAAGAATATCTTTCAGCGAAAGCTGGGGGGAGCTCGGAAGGAGAGCAGAGAGGAGGCAGATGCCTCCTGATAGAGGGGAGCCTGCACCTCAGTGTACAGGGAGCTCTGCGTCCTCATGGCCTGCGCTAGGCTGAGCCGCCTGGCCCCTCCCTGGCCCCTAGCGCGTGGCCCACCTGGAGACATCAGGTTCTCTGTACCTAGCTTTATCCCCATTTCACTCCAGTTTTATCGTGCAATAGGGGGACTCTGGAGCGCCTGGAGAACAGGGACCAGCTGGCCCCAAGGTACGTGCACCTCTCACCCAGAGTCACAGCACAACATATCACCTCCCTGGGGTCACAGAGTGAAGTGGCTTGTCCCTGGGTCTTAAGAGGGAGAGGGGGAAGAGCTTGCTGGCCCCTGATAGGAGGTCTGGTATTGCAGCCATGACTGGACTCCATCTTCTCCAGGTCAGTCTCCCAGGCATCCCCTGAGAGTGCTTGGGGTCCCCTGGTAGGCTCCCCTCTTGCTGCTCTGGATCCACCTGTGTGCAGCCAGGCGCAGCCAGGGTTGGCCATGGTCCCGTTTGATAGACAGCAGGCAGCAGTTGTCCTCGGGCCCCTGCTGGCCCAGGCCTGGGGTTGAGATCTCTTTTGTCTCATAGGGCTCCAAGGGAGAACCAGGGAAAGGAGAGATGGTGGATTGCAATGCCGGTATCAACGAGGCGCTCCAGGTGAGTGGCCACTGGCCCTGCGACTAGACGTCTGGAGGGGCCTCCACACTCTGCACTGAGGCCTTGAGAAGGGAGCACCGCAACACCCAGATTAATGTCCCCGCAATTAGGCCATTGAGTATGGCTTCCGGGAGAGTCACTCTTTTGTTTTCCCTCCTTTGGCCTCCCACTGTGCAGCCTCCAGGCAAATGGCCCCCTCATCTGGCATCCAGGTGGCCAGGCTCTCCATCTGGGCTCATCTGGCCCGTTATCCTGGAGCTGGGTAACTGAGGGGACACCTGGAGCATCCTGGCACCCTGCAGGATGCTGGCCCATCCAGGGCTTGGGGGCCCCATTTCTTCAGCCCACACACTCCCCTTTCACATGTCTTCCTGGAACACATCTCCTTTTGTGTCAATGTTATATTTCAAGTTCACATGTACACACCCTTGAAAGCAGCTTCTCAGCCGTGGCACTGTTGACAGCTGGGGCTGGGTCATCTCTGGTGTGGATTGTGGAGGAAGGCTGTCCTGTGGGTTGTAGGATGTTCAGCGGTATGCCTGGTCTCCACCCACCAGATGCCAGGAGAACCCCACCCCAGTTATGACAACCAAAATGTGTCTCCAGACATCGCCACATGTCCCCTAGGGGCAAAGTTGCCCCAGGTTGAGAACCACTCCTTTAAAGGAAATTTCTAACTATGCAAATCCATTTATGAGGTGTGTAATTCTTTTTTAATGCCAACAATTGTCCGTCTAATTATTTTTTTAGTGATTCCTTATTTTGCCATGCTGCATCTGTTTGTTTAAAGGGCAGTACATCCAAATTTGAAATCTAGGTACTGGGACAAGAGGGAAAAGCAAGGGAGCTCCCAGTCAGCGACTAGACAGAATAAGGGATGTTGCTTCCTTCTTCTTTGGCAAAGTGAAGGAAAGGTCACAGGCCATTTGTGGGCTTGTCTGAGCCCATAGTAGGACAGCCTCAGAGCAGCATTCAGTGAGATGTGGGGTGTTCCCTGCCCAGTGATTATAAGCCTCTGGGAGAGGTGGGGGTAGAGTGGAGCTGGGAGGCACAGAGCCCACTCCTTAGAGGAGCCCAGCTCCCATGTTCCTTGACTGGGCCGAGGGGACCCGACAGGTGGCTCTTCACCTGGTTGCACGGTGTTGGTTTTTTAGGAGATCCTGACACTGACCCTGATCGTAAGTCTTCCTCTTCTCTCACTTTCCCCGGGCACCAGGCCGAGGCCGAGGGGAGGGCAGCCTGGAAGCAAGGACTGGAGGTCTTGCCTAGAGAAGGCAGATGCTGGGCTTTCTGGTTTAATGCTGACCTTGCAGTGCTGGGGCAGAGGGTGACCTAAGCCTGAGCAGGGGTCTCAGGAGCTGCCCCCACCCTGAGGCATGGCTGACTGCTGGAGTGGCTCTTCACTGATTCAGCTGTGCACCTCCTCCTTGAAGCCTTCCCTGATCTAGCAGGCAGAGCATACTCATCACAGTGCAAATGCTAGGTTCTCATTACAACTCTGTCAAGGAAATAGAGGTATAAAGGGGGATATTTTTATGTTTCTCCTTTTTCTCAACCTTCAGCTGATAAAGTGCATAATCCTAAAAAATTAGTAGTGACCCTCCGCATTTCCCAGAAATCAATTTCATTACCTGCACCTGGAAACCCAGTGAATTCCAAGCCTCGGCTTTGCAGGCACGCCTGCCAGTGACAGCCTTCGGTGAATTCTTGTAGTTAAAACACTACCACCAGGTGGAGGGGAGAGGGGAAGGCACGAACTTCTCAAACTACTGGTGTTTTGTTTCACTTAATATTTTTAGGGACCATGTGCCACAGACACACTTAGGGGTGACAAAGACCCAGAATCAAGCACCAATCATAGGATGCCCCAGTCCCAGGAACTAGTGTTAACCACAGGATTCTGGAATCAATGAGCTTCACTTGGAAACATTACAACACATTATTTAAAATAGCTTTTGGAAGCAAAACTTTCCTGGAAACACTTTTTTTTTTCTTTTAAAATCAGCCTGGAGGTATAATTTACATACAATAAAATGTACCCCTTTTAGGTGCAGAGTTTCCTGAGTTTTGACAAAAGTATCCATACACATGTAGCCACAGCCCCAGTCACTCCAGAAAGTTCCTCCATGGGCCGGAGGAGTCAGTCCCATACCTACCCCAGCCCTGAGCCACCACTGATCGGCTTTCTGTCACCATGGGTTAGATGTGTCTTCTCTAGAGTTTCCTGTGAATGGACTCACGCAGCATGTAGTTGTCTGCATCTGGCTTCTTTGCTCAGCACCCTGCATCTGGGTTCCATCCTTGCCATGGCAGGTACCAGTCCTTGGTTCTCTTACCATTGTATTGGCTCACATTCCATTGTATTGATGGACCAGACCTTCACCCGGTGCTGGACACTTGGGTTGTTTCCTGGAGACATTTTTAAGTCACTGTCAGGGAAGGTCAGACTTGTCTCCTTGGAGCCCAGGAGTCCCCTGAGGTACCTTAGAAGAAAGAGGAGAGAGAGGCTACTGGACTGGACATGGCTCTAGATCCCCACAGCCCCCTTTAACTCAGACACACTCAGTGCCTATCTGCTTTACACTGTGGAGTCCCTGTATTATTTCCTTTGCAAAAAAAGTGTTCCTGCCACCAATGGAATGTTTGAAAATGCCTGATCTCTATGCACCAGCCTCTGTATACACCCCTCTGGTGACAGGTCACTCCTGCTCAGTCAGAACGGTCTTCCTCGAGTCTTTCTTTTCTTTCCTAGGGGCCCCCTGGTCTTCCCGGGCAGACCGGCCCACCTGGACCCCCAGGCATCCCAGGCCAGAAGGTAACATCTTTCCAAGGGGATGCAGCCCCTGCAGAGGCCCTGCATGTGACTCTGAGCATGGGACCCTGTGGCTGCCCCCCATCCATGACCCTCTCATCTTCCCAGAGCCACCACCTCTCTCTGGCCTATAATTCCTCTCGAGGCACCCAGGCACCACCCACATCACAGCTGCCATCCTCCTCCTGCCCTGGGCTCTGCCCCTCTGATGTGGCTGGGCCTGCCCACCAGACCCTGCCCCAGCCAAACCCACAGCAGCGACCCCAGCCTGCCATCAGGGAGCATGGCCCTTGAGCCCACCTCCAATCTCACTCCTCCCTCGCTCCCTGCCTTGGCTCCCTTTTATACTCTGCCCCAAACCCTGTGATTTTTCCCAGAAGGCCTTGTATGTTTGCTCTTCTGCCCTCTTCTCATGAAGCCCCCTATCCTGAAATCCCTTCCCCTCTTCCCTACCTTTTAAAGTCTGCCTCCTCCTTGAAGCCTCCCCTGACCTATCACAGAATTCGCTGCCCTTTCCTCTCTGCTCCGCTCATAGCACCTACATCATTTTACCTTGGTGGTGCAGCTGGTTGTCTGTCACCTGACCTCAAAGACAGAGGCCACGCCTCCTTACTTCCCTCTCTGAACTGAAGAAGGGGCTTGGGTTGATGTGAAGATGAAAGGAGCTCCCTGTGGGGCAGCCAGGAGAGGAGGGCCGGGTTTGAAGGGCACAGGGAGGCAGGCACCCCGCCCACGGAGCCATGGAGTGAGTGCCCAGGGTCCTTGGTGGCATTGTGCGAAGTCAGGCTAAAACGTGGATGCGGAGCCAGGGTGCTCATACTCAGATCCTGGCTCCACCCTTCACCAACTGCAGGCCTGAGCATACACTTGGCACTGGGGGTCTCACCTGTAGAGCGGAGACAGTGCAAGCCCATGCCTCCTGGGGACTCCTGGCACACAGGAAACACTGCATCAGTGACAGCTATCATTCTCCTCTCCGCTGAGGGTAACCTTTAGTTGTTCTGGCCACAGGGGGAGATTGGACTGCCAGGCCCTCCAGGACACGATGGAGAAAAGGTAAAAAGAGACACTCCCAAACCTCTGAAGATGGTCCTTGCCATGGGGGGTGATGGGGCAGAGGCTCTGGAAGACACCAAAGTGTGGGCCTTGTGGGGAAGGGAGAAGGGGACGGGAGGGGAGGCCCCCCCTGCAGAGGCCCTGCTGAGCCCACACTGCTAGCCTCGGAGAAGCCAGCAGAGCCACCCTGGGACGGGCAGGGGCTGGTGGCTGAGGCCTCCTCGATTCCCACAGGGAGCTGCACAGAACAGCCAAGTCTTTCAGGCCACCCATCCTTTCGTGTTCTCTCTCCTGTTTTCTCCACTAGTGTATCTAATAAGTATTGTTGATATTTTCTAAAGGGACCTCGAGGCAAACCAGGAGACATGGGCCCTCCTGGTCCCCAAGGCCCCCCAGGAAAGCCTGGGCCTGTAGGAATCAAGGGAGAAGACGGACAGCCGGGGAGCCCAGGAGAGAAGGGAGAGAAAGGGGAGACAGGGCAGGCGGGCCCACCGGTGAGTGCTGGGACTGGCTGGACCTGCTCTGCCCTTCCGCATGCGCCACCCCCAGCATGACACTGCCCCGCACCCTGCCGCCTGGGCTGCGAACCTGGAGCCAGGAGTCGGGGGCAGGGGATTCACCGGGTTTCCCTCTAGCCACCTACTTTACGAGGGCCAGTGTCCCACTGCAAGAGACCTGGGTTCTGTTCTGTCTTCTGTGTGTATCCTCATGAGAGCCACTGAGCCTGGCAGTTCCCTCATCTCTAAGGTGGGGGTAATAATGCCTTCCCTGGACACCTCACCAGGTTGTTGGAAAAGTGATGAAGTCATGGCCCTAAAACACCTCCTGGGAAAGTATGCAGGAACCCTCTGCCCTGGAGTGCTTGCTTGTACAGAAAAAAGGAGCCTTAGCCCACTCCATCTGGGCCGCTGCCTTGACTTGGGAGCCTTCTCTGGCATCAGTGGTTCCCGTCTGTGAATGGTCACCATCCGAGACACCTGCCCTTGGAGGAAGGGAGCCATGCGTGCATGCCACATTTGGTCACAGATGCTCAGCGTGACGCCTTGCGCTTGACTAACAGAGATCTTTGTCGGTCCTTAGGGTCTAGATGGCCCAACTGGGGAGAAAGGAGAACCAGGTGGCCAAGGGAGACCCGGATCGACAGGATTGCCTGGCCCAATTGGGCTCCCGGGATTTACAGTAAGGCCAGAGGGCTGGGTATCCAGGTTGTCAGCAGACAGTTGTGGACAAGGGCACATGAGCAGGGGCACCTCTCACTGCAGTCGGCAGCCTAGCGGGTGCTTGGCACTGCGGTGAGGCCACCCTATCCCCCAGCCTGCCTGGGGAGGGGGGTCCTCTTGATGAACAGATACTCTCTGAGGGGCAGTTGAGTATAAACAAGGGTGCCAGCTTCCTCAACTCACAGCATGGTGGCCTCTGTCTCAGGCACCAACATAGTGCAAAGATGCCAGGATCTTACACTCAGAATTCTCCTCTTACGTATGAGTGGGAAGAACCTCAGAAGTCAGCCAGTCCCACCTGTGACTGTGATTGCCTCGCTCAGCTAGGACAGGAGGCAGCTCGCCACCTCTGACAGGTCCCCTTCTTGGTGGAGCAGCTCCAAGCTGGAGGGAGCACTCCCGGGTGTGGCGCGCAAGCTCCCTCGTCAACACCTCCCACCCCCCTTGGCCCTCGCTCTGCCTCTGGAGCCTTAGTCATTTCTGTAACTGCTTAAGAAACCACCACAAATTTAGCAGCTTAAAACAACACGCACTTACGATGTCACAGTTTCTGTGGGTCAGGAGTCCAGGCCCGTCTCAGCCGGGTCCTCTGCCCAGGGCCTCTCGAGGCTACAGTCAGGGTGTGGGCCGGCTGCATTCTCATCTGGAGCTGGGTCCTCTCCCAAGCTCACTGCAGGCGGCGTCGTTCAGTTCCTTGCTGTAGCAGGACTGAGTCCCTTAGCTCCTAGAGGCTCCCAGAGTTCCCGGCCCCACGCCTCCCCCACAGCGGGCAGGTCACGTTACAGCAGCTACTTCTTCAAGGCCAAGGCCAGCGGCAGTCTCTCGGATTCTTAAAGGCTGTGATCACAGGCCACCGCCCCGCCTTCGCCCTTCATGCTAGCAAGACAGAGCTGTGTGTGTGCGTGTGCGTGTGCGTGTGTGTGTGTGTGTAACTTATTTGTGACGATCTTAACATGTCATGTTATCANCTACTTCTTCAAGGCCAAGGCCAGCGGCAGTCTCTCGGATTCTTAAAGGCCGTGATCACAGGCCACCGCCCCGCCTTCGCCCTTCATGCTAGCAAGACAAAGCTGTGTGTGTGTGTGTGTGTGTGTGTGTAACTTATTTGTGACAATCTTAACATGTCATGTTATCGCTTGTATACTACAAGTTTGTTGTAGTTTGTAACATAAGCTCANATCTTAACATGTCATGTTATCACTTGTATACTACAAGTTTGTTGTAGTTTGTAACATAAGCTCATCACATAATCACCTAATGACATTCCATCTCCTTCGCCATAGACCATATTCTGTTGGTCCCTAGGGCCTGAGCCCTGCAGGATCCATATGAAATGTCAGCCTCTCCTCCCACATGCTGAAAACTCCGATTCTTAAAAGCAGTGATCACATGCCTCCTGCCCCATCTCTGTCCGTCAGGCTGACCACCCCGTAGCCTCTGAGGTGTCCCCTACCAACACCTAGGCCTAGTCTACTTCCAGTCTGGTTTGTCACAGATTTGAGGGGGTGTCTGCCCAGGCTCCCCTGAGTGCTGGCATCCACGCCATGGTGTTTTGTGCCCACAGGGAGAGAAAGGAGAACCTGGGGAAAAGGGTGACCCAGGAGTAGAGGTAGGTGGTGCCTGCTCTGCCTTTTGTGTCACAGGGGTTAATTGACAGGGACCTCGTCACACCACAGTCTCTCCAGTGTGCATAGAATTTCCATGATCTAAAACGAAACTCACAACTGCCCGATTCAGCAAGAAGGTGAACATTCACCAAGCACCGCAGTGGCTAGTCATGGAGCCCCCTGCCTGCTCCACAGTCTCCCCATTAATCAAGTCCCTCAATGACATTTCACCGAGCACCCACCATATTTCATTCCTGGGCCTAGAGCCTGGAGATAAGAAAATAAATAGACTGTCCCTGTGCAGCAAACAGTCCCCAGTAATGGGTACTAGAATGGCAGCAGCCTAGGGAGTCGGGGTGAGCATCCCAAAGTTGGGTCATTTGAGCAGAGTTTTGAAGACTCTGTAGGAGTTTGCCTAGAAGCTCCAGAACTGGGCTTTCCAGAGAGAGAGGCATTGTTCTCTGAGAGGTGTGGTGGTGAAGGAAAGAAGAGGGAACAGTGGAGTAAGAGGTAGTCAGGATAGGAGCCAGGTTCACCTAAAATGGGAGGGAATTGGCGTATTTGTAGGTTCAAGGGAAAAAGCCAGGAAAGAAGGGGTCAAGGATACATGAGGGAGAAAGAGTTTGGTGGGAAGACCTGAGCCACCCAGACACCACCACAGAGCTAAGGGAGAGACCACCAAGCCTTCTCAGTCCCTGAAGAAGTCCCCTGCCTCCTGTCACCCTCAGTGTCATCAAGCCCCATCTGCATTTAGTGAAACAGACCTGATTATATAACATGTTACTTATTTGGAGATGGATAGCTTCCTAAAGAAATGCTCTGAAACTCAGGAAAAGCATTATACAAAAAATGTTCCTTCCAGATGTATTTAAAGTAAAAATTGGAAACAGCCTACATTTCTAACAAGAAGGAAATGATTAAATAACTTCTGGTAATAATACTGGTGGTAATAATAGTCCTCATGTTGGAGAGCATTCCTCGAGCCAAGCGCTGCCCCGAGCCCTGGCTCAGTAGGAACTCATTTTCCTTGCACTCAATGAATAGCATATTGACATACGAAGGAGGCTGGTGGGCAACATACAAAACATGGAAAATGGGTTCGGTGTTAAATGAAAAAGAGCAGAGGATCAAATTGAAATATCATAAGTGTGCACATATATTCAAATATTTTTATGCATCAAAAAAGAGTGGAAGGAAATAAAGCAAAGTATTAGCAGTACTCAGATATTCATTACTTTTTCTCCTTTCAATTCTTTTTAATTTTTCAAATATTGTAATGGGTCTGTATTACTTTATTTTTTTATATTTTAATCATTATGTAGTAAAATTGACTTTTTGGGGAGTGTGTGTACACTTCTGTGAATTTTAATACATGCATTGATTTGTATAACCACAGTCAGAATACATGAATTACTTATTTATAATAAGAAAAAAAGTAGTAATTATTGCTTAAGTAAAGTTTCCAAAGACTGAGTTCCCTGCAAGGAGACTCTGTGTTATGGAGCCGAATCGTCCATAGGTCCAAGAGAAGTTAGAGGTCTCCATCTGCACAGTGCATGGGCTCTCTCTACAGTGGCCTGGCAAAGGGTCCCCACCCTAGTCCCCAAACCCATGGGATTCCATCCCTGAGAAGGTGAGAAGAGCCCCAAAGCTGAGGTGGGGTGACCAGCTCAGAGAGGAGCAGGCAGATCTCCTTCCATCTCTTGGTGGCTGCTGTAGGCAAATGGGTGTCCATCTTCATCAGAGACTGAACCTGCAATAAATACCACCCTCCATAGAGAGGAAGACTGCCCTGGGTTCCCCATCTTCACTGTCCAGTTCAAATCTCTTCTACTTCAACCTCCCCTCAAGGGAAACTGAGACCAGCAGTCTCTGTTACAAATTTGGGGGGGACTTGAGGAATATTCTTCAGGAATGTCTCAGTCTCCCCCATTCCAGATAACCAATCTCTGCTCCTCTAAGCCAAAGGTCTCAAATTCAAATGCCTACAAGGACCAGGCATGCAACAAACAAACACAAAGTTATAGGTTATAGGTTAAATACAATAGGGAGTAGTGGGGACTGGAGCAACCCAAAGATCTTATGACCCACCTGGAGGGGAAAGCCCTCATTCAGCTCCAGGCATTTGTTGCCACACATGAACAAGAGCTTAGTGCTACCAGATTTTCTGGTTTGTTTGTTTTTTTTAAAAATCTGGGAGGTTAGATGTTTCAAGGACATTTGCCAGCAATCGTTTTTTGTTGTATGTTTGTTTGTTTGTTTGTTTGCAACATTGTAAAGGCTAAAGAGCTGCCATGAGTTTGTGACATGTTCTAAGCCTTCTTTTGGGAGACTGTGTGCTGGGCAGTTCTGTCTTCAGCTTTGCAGTCTCCAGCCGGACCCCAGGCCATGTGAGAAAGCAGGACCACTTAGAGCATAACAAGGGTGAGCTAACCATCTTCCTCTGACTTCTAGGTTCCTGGGCCACCAGGGCCGGAGGGGCCTCCTGGACCTCCGGTAAGTTTGGAGGGCTCATCAGTGTTTCAGTCCATGGTGATTGGGTCCCTAATGTCCCCTCCCCATGGTAGTCACTGGGCTCAGCCTCAACACTAGGTCACTGTCACCGCCCCCTCCCAGGGTGGGGGTTTTCTCATCCACAGATCCCCCTTTTTCCTGCCCATGTTAAACAGGCACCATTCCAGTGCCACTAAGGAGCTGGGGCATTCCCTGGTTTCTTGGAAAGAGCCGACTGGCACGGCAGCCCTGAGGCCTAGTCCCACTTAATGCCAGCCCCACTGGGTGGGCCTTTCCATGGTTACAGATAAGACAAGGCCTTTAAAAAGATCCCTTTGCATTGCACCTAGAGGGCCCCCAAGCACCCCAAACCAACAGGTGCTAGTTCTTACCTCTGTGGGGCTCATGTTCCTGTGGCACTGTCACCCACTGTCATTGGTAGAAGTAGTAGCAGTAATAATGATAGTAGCCAACATTTACTGTAACTTACTGTGTGCCAGATACGGCTCTGAGCACTTTGCATATATTACTTGATTCATCTTGTGCCGTGTTTCCTCTCGGTCTTCCTTTCATTAGACTCCCTGTCAGCTGTGGGGGACACAGAAAGGTCCTCTCTCATCCCTGGCTGGGGAACCCTGGCTCAGACCCCACCCTAGGGAGCCCCAAGCACAACCCCCTTAGCACCCCCTTCTGCCTCCCCTGGAGGGACCCAGGCCAGGCTCTGCACCCTAAGCCCTTGCACTTTTGTGTCCAACTTGTGGGCAAGGATATTTGGACTTAACTAGAAATGCAGTTCTGAGGCGCCTTGTTTTGATTCCAAATGCAGGGGCTCCAAGGCATTCCTGGACCAAAGGTAAGCACAGGTCATGTGACAGGTGCTAGGTGAGGGGGTGGGGGAAGGGGACTTGGTCATCGAGGGCAGAAAAGAGGGAAAGAGCTCAGAGGTGGGCGGCCCAGCTGACCCCTTCCCTAATGGAATCATGTGACACATGATCAGGACACAATGAAGTCCTGCTGTCCTTTTAACTTGCTCACCAGCTATTTCGAGCCTGAACTCACCCATGGGGCCAGCTACTTTTCCGCACTTGAATATTAAATGAAAGCATCTGATTAAGTTTAAATGTACTTTATTTTGTCGTATCTTATATTTATAGGAATGGCCAAAATAAGTGCTGAGCAGTGAAGAGCTCATATCTTGCACCTCTTATAATCTGAGCCTAAACAAAGATAACTAAGAAAACAGTCTAGAGTGCTCTTTTAAAACTCGACATTGCCTTCAGGCCTTAAAATTACTTAAATTAATGTAAATGCAGACATGAGTTAACTCGTGACCAGTCAGCAACATTCAGTCACGGAAACACAAGTATACTCGTGACCAGTCAGCAAGGTGTTTAACATCCGTCATGGACACTGGGAAGGCTTCAGCTTTAAAATTTTCCCACCCATTAATCGACCCTATAGAATGGCAAGTTTGGCACTTGGCAAATAATGAAATCCTTTTCCCATGTCGTCTGCCCCAGACCCTTGGAGACAGAGAGACACATGGCGTGGGACCCCTCCCAGGAACCAAGCCCACTGCACTCTGGCCTCAGGCTCCCAATCACCCCCTGGAAGCATTTCAAATGGATAAGCAGAGCTGGAGCCTGCTGGCGTCACAACAGCCCTGGTCTCCTGCCTTAACATTTTTCAGGGGACTATTGGGCAGTTTTTCTCCCAATTAGTTTGGAAGCCTCGGAGCTCCAGTGGTGGCATTTCAGACCTCTGCCAGCCAGTCTCTGCAGGGTCCCCCTTTTCCTGCCATGCAAAGAGTCACCTATGCCAAAGCCTGACCTGTGACTTCCCTGTGGGCTTGTGTCCACTCCATCTCTTTTCCCTTTGGGGGACCTCAAAGTTACTACAGGGGTACAGGGGACTCCAGCTGAGGCAGAGACAGGCTAAGTCAGGGATCCTTGGAGTCCCCAGCCTGCCACCCCTGGGCCAGTCACATTCACCTCTTCTACCCTACCTGCCCCCCACACCCGCTCCCATCCCCAGGACCTCAGAATTCAAGATGAATTGTCTGAGACAAGCCCCTCTGTGATCTCCCCCATCTCCCTTTCCTTCAGGGGGAAGCAGGACTAGATGGAGCAAAAGGAGAGAAGGGTGTCCAGGGAGAGAAAGGAGACCGAGGTCCTCTGGGATTACCCGTAAGTATCGTGGACCCAGCAAGACTGTTGTGAGGAGCCCAGCCGGGTGGTCCTGACAGGTGCTGGGCATCCAGAGCTCAGTGTGGTTTTGCTTTCCCACCTGGGCAAGACCATAGGCTCTGATTCTCTTACTGAGGCCTCCTCTGGGCCAGGCCCTGGCCTCGGTGTGGGGAGAATGTGAAGCTGAATGAGACAGGGCCCCCTACCTCAAAGAGCACCTGGCTAGAGAGCCAGAGGTGGCTTGAGCACAGCCTCAGGCCCTACGCATGCCTGATTCGAGGCAAGAAAAGTTTGCCTTCACAGAGGCCACACTGGAGAACTTGGGAGCAACAGGACAGTTGGAGTCTGCTCCATCACTCTTCTATTTTCCCCAGAGGGGCCCCAAGAGCACCCCTGATCTCTGTTCTTAAGCACTAGCCACAGCAGAAAAGCTTATAAAAAGTAAGATTCTCCTGTCCCCAGGCTAAGGCCACTTACATCCCAGTTCCCTGAGATCTCTGATCTCAGCCTGCCCAGAGCTACAGGCCCCAGGGCAGGGCAGCTGACTTACTCAGAAGGCCTTTCCAGGTGTGGGGCCTGGCCTGGGCAAGTCGTTCTGTCCCAAGCTTCAGTGGGCTGATGGCCTGGTCACCTTGGCAGGGAGAGTAGATCCCTCCACCCTGGGCCCCAACATTCTTCACACCCCAGTGAGGCTAGCACGCCATTCGGTTTGTTTTTCAAGAGTTGGAAGGGGTTTCAGTGACCCATCTGATCATTTCACTGATGAGTCCAGAGAAGAAAGTGACTCACTTGAGGTCACATATTAATTCAGTGGCCAGGCCAGAGGCTGCTCCTCCACTGAGGCCACAGCCTTGCAAGGGGCTCTTTCCAGCCACTGGGGCTTCCTCTGTCCCAGGCACCAGGCCAGTTCCCGTTCCAGGAAGCCTTAAAGAGCAGGGGAACAATGGGAAGACCAATTACCCAAGCTTGGCAGAACTTGGAGGTCTGTTTAATATAATCACAGCAACCAAAAAGCAGGAGCAAAAGATACAACTGCACCCTCGTTAGTGCATCAAATGTAGGAACATTTAAAGAGCTGATTCGCTGGACAGACTGCAGAAAACTGATGACTTTAGCAGACATTTTCCCGTGTCTTAAGCTGAGTCCGGAATGATTAAGTGCTCCTTCCTATTAGAGAGCCTCCTGGCCCCACTCAACCACGAATCTCTCCTTGTCCACCGTCATGGCCCCACCTACCTTAGTGAACATGGCCCCACCTACCTTAGTGAAAAGCACATGGCACAGAGGCCAAACAAGTAATATCAACGAAGAAAATGCCAGAGGAAAGACAAAGTACCCAGTCTGTCTTTAACTTCTCTACTTTTGATAGAGACATGGGTATGGAGAAATACTTTTGCTAGCTTAAGAAAACAGCAGAGCAAGCATATTCATAAATGGCAATTAATATGGATTTCAGAGAGACAATAGGGAGTGGCAGGGACTGTGGCAGGGACCCACAGACCATGTGTCCCTTCTTGAGGAGATAAGCCCCTTCTCAGTTCAGCTGACTGTTGCCTTGGGAGAATGAGGGTCCAGTATTTTTGAATCTTCTAAAAGGAAGCTGGACATCTGGGATTTTCTTTGAAACCTCCCTATTTTCTTACATTAAATCAAAATTACTTGCAATACTACCGACCATACAAAATATGTCAGTGGCCCACATGGGGCCTGAAAACCTCCAGTTCATACCTTGTACTCCAGACCTCTCAAGGTAACTCAGTATTAATATAAACAGACAAAGTTTGTGGATATTTAGCTAATATTTTGTTTTTAGGCTTTCCCTCAATATTTTATTCCATATACTAGCAGCATGTTTTTCCAAGCATGTCCCATTGACTTCTCAACATTGGCATCATTAGTATTATCATTTAAGGACCAACTCAGGTTTCAAAGCCAGGTGCTGTAATTCAGTGACAAGCCTTTCAGGGTCCCCCCATGTGGCCTAGTCTCAACAGGTTTGCAAAATAGGCTGGGAAGGCCACCCTCGCCAGGTCCCCATCCTCTAAGTATCTTGTCTCTCCCCAGTGAGACTGGCCTTGGGAAGGAAGCACTAGCTCAGGTTCTGGACGCCGCCCCATGAATCTGCTCTCCATACCCCTTTCCCCAGTGGGCTGCAACCCTTTGGGAGAGGGATTTCTGAGAGGGGCTAAAAGGAGAGAGGGGAGCTGGGGACACAGAGGATCAGAACAGTCATCTGCACTGATCTCCATCCAGCCTGCTCAGCGGTCGACCACACTGCATTCAGTGTCTCCATGTTTTGTTGGTTTCCATGTGAATACCATTACCTGTCCTCCCAAGCTTACTTCTCCCGTTTTGTTTGATTACCAGCATTTGTGTCTGTCCAGAGTCACTGCTTCACTCATCTCTTCCCTCCCTGGTCCCTTTTTCTCCCTCCCGTTTCTCCCTTACCCTTCTTTTGGTCAAACTGTTCCCCTCGTCCAGGGAGCTTCAGGTTTGGACGGCAGGCCTGGGCCACCGGTGAGTGTCACTTCTCCATTACCCTTCAGCCCACCCCACCCCACCCCGGCCTGTGATCCCTCTCGTCTGTCCCACTGTGGCCTTGTTTTCCCAGCGAGTCTTGCCTTATCCCACGACTGACACTAGAAAGGTACCATCTGTGCTCTGTTCAGAAGTGTTATCCTGGCCTCTTGACCAAAGATGGCTGGCCTTCATCTAAATTTCCCTGCTCATGGTATGCACCCAGCATCCTCAAATCTGTGTTTCCAGACCTCTGGACATACAGTGGGAGTACCACTCCAGCAGCACAGACTCTCCCTAAATAAATGCTGAGTTCAGGCTGGGAGCCCAGCCCTGAGGATCTGGGCTATGACTCATCCCCACCAAACAACAGTGTCTGTATGTGCCCGTCATGCTGTGTTGTCTTCATGCTGTGAGCTCTGTCCATCCCATGTCTGCCCACACAGGCTTCCTAGTCCTGCATAGCCACAGTCTAATGCATAGGGGGTGGGGACAGCGTGGACGGGTGAGAGCAGGTGTAGCATTTAGGAGCACACAGGCCAGTCCCAGCTCAGTGTTCTGGGGGCATGTTACAACCGCACCCTTCACTGCCTGTTGCAGCATAGTCATCCATCCCGTCAGGGGTTTATACAGAGCTAATTGACCGACACTTGGGTCCCCTCTTTCTGTGTTCTTCCTGATTCTAGAAAACACACATCACCTACTCATGACTAGAAAGCACCTGAACCTTCTCTTTTTTAACAAACAACTGAAGCGTCAGAAAAAAGTCCCTCCTCTCCACCTTCCAGTCCTCCTCCCAGAGCACCCCAAAAGGTCTTCGGGGCAGTGACACTCCCAACTAAAGCCTGTCCCTTCCCATGGTGTTGGGACCACTGGCCATCAAGAGCCAGAAGGCTGGACTTCCCTCTCTGGGGCAGCTGTAACCAGAGCTGTATGTGCGCCAAGCCCCTTCCAGCCAGTGATCTCAGCTCTGCCCTTGCAGGACACTTTGAGGCCATAGGTGCTTGGTCTGCCCAGAAGACAAGGTTCTAAGGAGCTGGCTGGAGTGACACTCGGGGGAAGAAGAGAGCTTGCAGGGCTCGCTTGTGGAGGGGAGGACATGCAGCCAGGGTAGAGGGAAATGTCAAGTCACACCTGCAGGAGGCCTTGCTGGGGCCTCTCCCCACTATGTGTTTATGGGGTTGATACTGTAGACTGTCATAAATGGAGAACATACCCATTTTCTAAGCATCATTACGGCTTTGCTGCTCCACCACAATCCCTCCATTTCCAGCCTCCTTGCACCTTGCGCACGTTTCCTAGGTGACCAGTCAGAGCTGGGGAGACGATCTGTGGCTGGAATCAGAGAAACCGAGATTTCTCTCTCAACTGCTTATTCCATTCATGTTGGACAGAGGGGAGCAGTGCAAAGTCACATGTTCTGTCCCCTTGGACCTGAGGGTTTATTTTTTCATAAAATCGATACCACAATCCTAAAGGAAAATTTTTATGGGAAAAATAATCTTGCCCTGCCGATACTGACATTTATTGGGCACCAAATGTGTGGCATGTGTTCATCCATTTTAGCCCAGCAGCAGCTTGAGAGGCAGTCACTCATGTTCTCATTCCCCATTATACAGGTAGGAAAACTGACCCTCAGAGAGGCCAAGAAACTCCTGCAATATCGCAGAGTTAAAAGCCTTCAAGCAGAACTGGAAGCCAGCCAGTGACTCTGGAGTCCTGTTCTGACCTCTTTACTCTCATCTGGCCTCTTTCACTTTTGACGTGCTCTTGTCACCCACGCCCACAGCTTTCCTTCTTCCCTCGTAGCTGCAAAGGGAGCCCCGAGAATATCTTTTTGTCGCCCCCCCCCCCGTAATGTAAATCAGCATTTCCCCACTTGCTCCCGCCCCCCCTTTCACAGCTACACCTGAGACACTGGGGACTGGCCACAGGCCCAGCCCACACCCTCATGTCTGAGCAGGAAGCACAGTCACAGGCAGAGCGATGGGAAGCTCTGAAATAGAGGCCCCACCTAGCCGAGCCGCAGTGGGGAACCTGGGGGGATGTTTAATTATTCCATCGCAAGCCCAGCTCCGTCTCCAAGCAACGGGCTCCCATCGCTCCAGCTGCCCGACTCCCCCCCAGCCCTGGGCGAGGAGCGCTTCTGACACACCTCCCTTCCCACCAGTGTCAGCAGACATCGAGACACACTAATTCACTCTCCAACCCAGTCTGTCCCCCTGGCCTGGGTGTGGGGACAGAGGTCCGGCCAAAGGCTGGGCCGGGCCAGGCCCGCAGTGGGGCGGGTGGGTGGCGTTGGCTGACTGACCCCCCCACGCCTGCCTCTGTGTGTGCGTCTGCATCGCTCTCTGTGGCATGAAGACCCTCCCGCTGCATGTGGAGCTGTGACAGCAAAGGGGTGCCACCTCCGGCCCCCCACCCCTGGGATGGTGTCAACTCCCTCCCAAGCGCTTCTGGGAACAAACTAAGCAACCGTTTTCCTACCGTTTTCAGCCTTGGCAAGCTTGGCTGTGAAGTGAAAGGGTTTTCGTCCTGGAATCTGGCTCTGAGGCAGGGGAGGCTCTCTCTCCCCGACGCCCCCAAACCCAAACAGGAACACGGCTCAGTCGAATGACTGCCCTGAACGAGCCTGGCCTCGCCAACCCTGAAAACTGGCCACTGGACCTTGCTGCTCTCCAGGCGTCGGGCGGGGTGCCCAGGGCTCCCTCAGCACCAGAACCTTCACCTCTGCCTCCTTTCGCCCCCCCAGGGTACCCCAGGACCAATTGGAGTTCCAGGCCCAGCGGGACCAAAGGGTGAGAGGGTGAGTGTTCTGCGAGCTGGGGCCCTGGGGGACCTTCCTCAGCCTCGGGTCCTGAGCCCTGGCACCTGTGTGTGGCCCACAGGGTCACCATGTCAACCCCGCAGTCTCAGCCCTTACCCACCCCCCTAGATGGAACAAGTGCCATCCCGCAGCCAGGTGGTTGCTGAGGGGTGACACAGCTTCAAAGGAGAAACCGCTCTCTCTCCTGTTTTCTTTTCCCTGCCTCATGGTGACTCCGTTTCCTCACTTACCCCCTCCCCCCCCCCTCTGGCCAGCCAGGGCCCCAGGACACTGCTCAGTCCTTCCAGGGGACCTTGGGGAATAGGCTCTGCTGGAGTGAGGGTGAGGGGCCCCCCAACCACCTCCTGCCACAGAGTCCACACGAGTAGCCCCAACCCTCCGCTCAGACCTTGCTTCCTAGACGGCTGTTGAGGGGACTGGAGCGGCGTCAGGTGTAAAACAGCGAACAGTTGATGGAAGGTTTTTACTACGTCCAGAGGGCTCATGGGCTGCTTTCTCTTCTTTCAGGGCAGCAAGGGCGACCCTGGGATGACAGGACCAACGGGAGCAGCTGGGCTTCCTGTAAGTCTCCTGGGGTCAGAGGGTCTCTTCACCCACCCCTGTGCACCACCAGGGACACTGTCAAAATAGAATCCTCAGAGCCCGCAGCAAAAAATTTAGAGCCAAGTGAGAATTCTCATATCTGTGACACAGAAAGCTGCCAACAGCCAACTGGTCAATGCACTGGAATATCCCTGCTGGGGGACTAGGTCCTCAGCCACATGGACCATCTGATGGGATGTAGCAAACACATCACAAGCCCCTTCAACCGCAAGCTTCCCTGTCCAATGCAGCGGGGGTCTCACAGATGAATGTGCCGTGGCCCTTGCCCTCAAGGGAGGCCAGAATCAAATCCAAATCACTATCATGCAAGAAAGAGAGGGGCAATCAGTAGATGAGTGGATAAAAAAGCTGTGGGACATTTACACCATGGAATACTATGCAGCTGTAAAAAAGAAGGGTCCCTTGCCCTTTGCGACAGCATGGAGGGAGCTGGAGACTATTATGCCAAGCGAAATAAGCCAGTCAGAGAAAGACAAGTATCACATGATCTCACTCATATGTGGATTCTAATGAACAAAATAAACTGATGAACAAAATAGGTCCAGAGGCATGGAAGCATGGCACAGACGGAGGGATCTCAGAGGGAAGGTGGGGGTTGGGGAGTGGGCGGGAAGAGATTAATCAAAGAACTTATATGCATATATGCATAATCCATGGACTCAGACAATAGTATGGGGAAGGCCTGGGGATGGGGTGGATGTGGGGTGGAGGGGATCAATGGCAGAGGGAGAAGGAAAGGGGCAGCCTTCCCAAGGGATGGCTTCCTAATCAGAGAAGATTTTCCCATTGCATTATTTAAAAAAAGTTGATTGAACCAGAATTTGATAGAACCAGAATTTTGTTTCCCACCCACCTGAAGGTTATGCATCTGTGCACGGGTTCCATGCTTGGCTGCCCAGGCGGCTTTGCTCTGGCTAAGTTGGCAGCCTCCGCCAGCCTTAGCTTATGTTCATTCCCCTTGCTGAAGACATGAAGAGCCGCATGCACCTCGCAAAGAGGGTCTGAGGAGCTTTGCAGCCATTTTTCTAGCCAGAACCTGTCCGGAGAGTCATGCAAACACCTCCCCTGCCAGGAGAGTTCTCTACCCAGACTGTCCTCAGCACACACCACTCCTCAGCTTGAGTGATCATGAAGAACACAGCAGGATGTTGGCTGGGGAGCAAGGAAACCAGAACCACGCTCTTGGCTTTGCCCATAATTCCTGATTTGTCCCTAGGTTAAGTTCCTTGAGCCCCTTTATCCCCCTTCTGTAAAATGGGGATAATTAAATCTGTCTTGGGTAAATTAGGCATCAGAGAAGAACTTTATGAGCCTGGAAGGAAGCACTGTACAGCCATCCTGTGTTTTCTCATTAATGTGTTTCCATTTCTCTGATTTATTGCAGGGTTTACATGGACCACCCGGAGACAAAGGAAACCGGGTGAGTCTGACCCCTCACATTTTGGCTCTGGTTACTAATGTCTTCATGATGTGGTGGAATGACCAATTGGGGATTCCTGACCCAACATGGCAAATACAGTTTTTCCTGATAAATCATTGCAAATTAAAAGGCTTTCTCATTGGGGGCTTAATCTGTGGCACGCAGAGAGCCTGGGCCCTGATCCTGAAATTGAAGCATGTATTTTTCCGCCTGACAGGGGGAGATGGAATCCCACGGTGGCCATCAGATTAGCATTACCATTCAGTGATGGGAGTCACGTGCCCAGCTCTCTCTCTCTGGTGCCCTGATAATGGGCCCCTAAATGACATTTTTAAATCCATCGTTGCCTAGTCCTAGCCTCTGAAACTTCATTTGCCAGGCATCCCAGGCCACTGGTGAGAAAGAAAATAAATTCCAGTTCTGAAAACAAGCAGGCAGCTATTGTAAGCGGCCAGCCCTTGCACAACCAGTATTTCTCTTGGAAAGCGTCAGCAGGACTGTGAAACGACTCGCGCCTTCAGAGGCCCTTTGCTCTCTCTTTGGTTTCGGCCATCTTCACCAGGACACAATTATTAAATGTCCACAGCACCCATAGACATGTCATGGTATATGGCACGTGCCTGGTATATGACACATGACATAGTTGGTCCCAGCAGGGACCATTTAATTCCATCTGACCAAGAGATGACCTTTGGGTTCCTTTCTAGAATATCTCACCTGCCCCTTCACCACAGTGATTCTCACACTGTGAACCGTGCCCCCTAATGGCCCAGGGCATCTTCTAGTAGTGGGTCAAAAGATCCAAGGATCCTAGAAGTAGAAGAGGAGTGGGAAGAACAGACAGAGAAACAAGCCCAGACAATGATAAAATGTACCGAGTTCCCAGAGAGCTGAAGGCAGAGCAGGTGGGCTCCAGAACCCAAATCTTCCAGCTGATCTTTGAACACTGATGACCACGATCATGAACAGAAAGTGCCAGAATCCATATGCTTAAATCTAACACTGATTCCAGTCTCTTCAATTTAGGATGTATTTATTGAGCACGTCTATATCCCTAAATTCTCCTTTCTGGCAGCTGGTCAAAAGCAGCTCGATTCGTTCCACATGTTTTACTCACAAGAGGGAGCAGGAAGAGCTGCCCATACCAGACTGTCCATGGGAAGACCAAGTCCAGAAACCGCAGGAATACAGGCCTCCTTCCAGAAATGCGCAGGCCTGGTGGGGCAGTCTGGGAAGCCCACCCTCATTACTGTGGCATCAAAGAATTTAGGCCACTAAAAAAATTGATCATTCCACCTTCTAGTTGGCATACTAACCTCCTTTCTAATTTATTTCTAAAGTGTTCTGGTTTTCTTTATTATATTCAATTAATACTTTTTAAACCAATTTCTCAAGACATTTCAGTTGGCTTGAGGCACTGAGTCATTTGAGGGCTGCAAAACCAGTCCAAGTGGGGACTGTGAGGCTCTAGAGGTGGAGGCGGGGCAGGCAGACACCCTTGTCACAGATGGAGGAGAGGTGGAGGCTGGAGGTGCTGATGTGTAAGGAACCAAGGCCATCGAACGAGCCAATAAGGAATCAGTGGGAAAATATTTCTTCTCCACTTTCCCCTTCTAAGGTTTTACACACTCTCCCCCTTCCCATATATAAATAGCAGTATGTCACTCAGGAGAGTCCAGAAAGCAGTCAAGTTGCATGAACCTTCTTTTGAGTGTGGCAAAAAAACAACTGACTTATTCCACAGAGCAGGTTACCGAGTCAGGGAACAGCTATTCTCTCCCTCCAAGGGAATGGACTCTCAGGAATGTTCTGGAAGGGTCCTCCCTACACCTCACCTCCTCACTCAGACCTCTTTATACCACCAGCCCATGAGGACTTTGCAGGGAGATGTGAGGACTTGGAAACAAAGCCTCCAAAACAAAGGAAGTTCCAAGTAGAGTCAGCACTTTGCTATGGACAGCTTTTTTTCTGATGCTTGGAACTCAGAATATTGACACTTTGGTCAAGGTAAGAGGCCAGAAGGGCTTAAATGACAGTCTGGTTAGAAGTGTCGTTGTTGCCTGTGAAGGTGAAGCTGGAGATGCTCTAAACTCCCGCCCCTCCAGGTGCGGAGGGTGGCTGTAGGGCCGCTCCCAAACTCTACCACGCCTCATGCCGGGACCCCATCAGAGGGCCCGGCGGGCGCACCACGAGCCTGTTGTTCTATCCTGCAGTGACCTGAGACACAGTCTTAAAACGCTGCTCCTCCGTGTGCCACCCGAGGATGGTCTTGTAGCCTCTTTCCTGCTCGTGGAAGGAGGAAGGTCCTCGTAGCAGTGGGAAAGGCTCAGAGCCCCAAATGGGCAGTTTTCTGAGGACATGCACATGCCCGTGCAAAGAACATTCTGTCCTTGTCACTACAGATGCTCTTCTTGTCCCTTCACAGCCCTGTGAATTTGGCCCAAGAGTCAGTTTTAGGATAAAAATGTCCTTCAAAGGATAAAGGGGGGTGTGAATTTGGCAATTCGGGGGTCAGGAAAATTGGGTGTGAAGGCGCAGCTGCCTGCAAGCTGGAGCCAACTGGAAGGTCTGCGCACATGCACTGCGGCTACTGTCACTCTCCCAGAAGCAGCATCGGGGCGAGGGGGGGGGTGCCTGTGTATGTGCACATGTGTATGTGTGTATGCAAACATGCATGTGTGCGTGCACAAGTGTCCTGCTTCCCCAGGCGCCCTTGCCCCCTTTCCAGCCCTTCCTCTGCTACCTGCGATGGCCTGGGCCTGCCTCTTCCTTCCTTTACTCCAGTATTTCTCCCCCTATGTTGTTCAGTACATTATAACAATCCCCTATCCCTCATCCTATCCCTTTCACTCCCCCAGCTTCAATTTATTTCCTCTAAAATCAATTTTTATACATGTATTTACTTTGTTTAAGGAAGCTTCTGCAGCTCGGCTTTATCTGCCCCTTTCCCTGTACTGGCTGGGTTTCTCTCTTTGTCGGGGCCTCTTTGGGAGCAGGAAGGATTAGGCAAAGCTACTACCCTAATGTCTCCAAAGGGCACCCAATGTAAAGCCATTTCCTGTGCCCTTAGAACGTGAAGCCACATAATGCAAGTCACCCATCCTGAAAAGCAGGCTGACCCTACGTTACCATAGGCCAATCATCCGGGACCTGAAACCCTCAGTCCTTGAGCTTTGCCCACCCTCTGAACTCTGGAAACTGTGCTGGCTTTTATACCCGCCCGGCCCAAGGGGAATGAGGGGCCACACTCCTGAGAAAGTTTACCGTGGGGCTTCCCATCCAACAGCGAGTGGTTTTGCTTGTCCACTGTTCAGGGATTGTCCACACCACGATGTTTTCATTGGTTGGAGTATCTCAGAGCCAATGGGATTATGCCCACACATGTTCCCCCTTAAACACGTATCACTTTCTAAGCATTTGCTCTTTAGAAAACTCGCTAAGGACAATGCATTGGCAATTACAGGGAACCTCGGGAATCAGGAGATTCGAGTAATTTCCAAAGATCCTCGGAAACATCAAAAACACTCTTATCCTTTGCCTCCCTCTAACAAACCCTTAGCCTTCCGATTTGGGAACACAGTAGACACGATGAGGCCATAACTGATGGCAGCCTTGGCCCTTATACTAGCTAACAAGAAACAATAATTATTGTTGTTAGCATTATGAAGCAGCTGTCATTTACTGAGCACATACTATGTGCCAGTATTAAGCACCTAATGTACACAAGGACCTCAAACAAAGTTTTGAGGCAGGTGTTATTATCCACATTTTACAGGTGAAGAAACTGAAGCTCAGAGAGGTTAAGTAACTTCCCAAAAGTCACACTGTTGATAACAGGCAGAACCTGCTTTGGCTCTAAGCCTCTGCTCTGATCAGTAGGCTGCCCTCTGAGGTCTGTGGCCCTGGAGTAACGCTGTGGAGCAGTAGACAATCGNCAGAACCTGCTTTGGCTCTAAGCCTCTGCTCTGATCAGTAGGCTGCCCTCCTTTGAGGTGTGTGGCCCTGGAGTAACGCTGTGGAGCAGTAGACAATCAGCCTTCTGTAGAGGACAGGAGTTTTCAGGAGGACTTCCCAGAGGCACTCTTGCCCCTTTATAAGGAAACCCAACCTGTGAAAATCAAATTCAAATTCATTACAAAGAATTCCCACAGCCTTTCTTTAAATGGAGAGTGACTGACACATGCAAAATAGGGATCAATTTAGAAAGGCAGTGTTTACTGAAGCTTTTCAGAAACAAATGAATTCCTTGAACCAACTTGTCCATATGCAAATAGCTGCCTATGGCTTCAGACCAAGATGGACAAGACACACAGAATGGAAGGACCCAGCTGAGAACCAGGGGCCACCCATGAGCCCTGAACACACATGTATGCATGTGTACTTGTACACACAAGCACACACTCATACATGCACACACTTGTATACACATCACCAAGCACATATTCACACACAATTGTGTGTGCACATGCATACACACACATGCACAAGCACACACCCACACATTCATGCATGCATGTGCACAACTATATACACGCACACATTCATACATGCTGTATTCACACACACACACACACACCACGGCTCTAAACAAAAATCACCTTGCCTCTTAATAGAATATCAAAGGGATAAAAACCAATTAGGACAAAAGTTGTCAAGCCAAAGTCTTTCAAAACTGGATTCTCAAATAGAAGGAAGTGAATCCCTGTTTACCACAGACCCCTTCTGGGCTCAGCATCAGCAGAACTGTCCACCGGTGTCTTCCATGTGCATTTCCCTCCACCTCCACCTCTGAGCCCTGCTGCCTGCTGCTCCCAAGCCTTGCTCTCCTCCCCTGCCCCCCACCTGCCTCAGCCAAATCCTCAGGCCGTGAGTCCTGCCCCAAATCCTAATGGAGAGACTATCCTAATTGAGAGAAGCTACTTTTCTCCTCTTTAATTTTTTCTTTTTCTATCTCTAACCTTAACACATGAATGATCCTAAAGTTTTGATGATGTGTTTTTTTTCTCGGACTAAACTATTATTTACAGGGGGAGAGGGGGAAGAAAGGCTCTAGAGGGCCTAAAGGGGATAAGGGAGACCAAGGAGCGCCTGGATTAGATGCCCCCTGTCCGTTGGTATGTTTTCATTTATCACTTGCCTTGTACTGGTTTTCTCCTTGAAGTTTGCAAGCCGGAAACAAAGAAGGCAAATGAACTAAGAGGAGATCCGAATGACGACACTGATGCTACCAAATCTACCTGTGCTTTGGCCTGTGAGATGCTTGCCTGCTGTTGGTTTTGCCTTAAAACCACAGCTGCAAACCGTTCAAAGGAAATCCCTTTCCTTTGAAGATGCAGAGCAATTGATGGGTGGACGTGGAAAGACCCGAGGAAAGGGATTTTGGAGACGGCCTCAGCTCTTAGCTCCAGGATGGCTTTGGAAGCCAGTGCAGCCTTTGTGAGCCATGCGTTTGCCTTCTTTGTTTCATGGCCACCTCTGTAGCCAGCAGTCCAAGCTGTTGGAATCCTCCCTCGATCAGGATGCAGGACCCCCAGGTTAGCGTCTGCAGAGGGCCACCTGTGCCCTAGCCGGGCAAAACAAGGCCAGAAAGGGGCTTTTAATATACAGTCTCCCAACTTAAAACCTGCAGACCAAAATCAGTAAGCAAACACCCCCAGGAAGACTTCCCAAACGAGCCAGTAAGGAATGACTCATGGACATCGGCCGGGCTTCTTAAGTGCCTTCCCCGTCCATTCGAAGGTTCTGAAAACTATGACGCACTGACGCTGAAATTCATCTGTGTTCACTCTAAATGAGTCTGCAAAGGGAGAGGGGGCTGCTGTACACGTTTCAAAACTAAACTCTTCTGGAAGCCAAAGACAGTGTAAAGGTTGAATTTAGGACATGAGCATCGACTGTGATTGGGGCCCTACTTACGGATGCCTCACGGGTCCTGCATCCTGGCCAGGGTAGGACTGGGCCTCTCCACTCCACAGTCGGAGCTGGCCAGCCTTGACCTAAATAATCGTCGTGGTTGGTTTCATGAACAGGGACACCGAGGTTTTAAAGGAGAAAAAGGGGAGCCGGGGTTACCAGGGCTGGACGGACTGGATGCCCCGTGCCCATTGGTATGGCATCACCCTTCCTTGCCTGCATGGCCAGTTTGGGCTCCCCCACATGTGTGGTTTGTGCCTGCGTGCCTCTCCAACCACCCTCTACCTCCGCCTGCTCCACCCATCTAGTCTCCACTTCCTGCCTCTTCTCCGTAGACACCAAGGGTCGCCCTGCCTGGCTGGTCCTCAGGGGCTCCCACTGCACCCACCTCTTGCATGCAAAATTTGCCGGGATGTTTTCTTGGCTTCCTCCTGCAGCTGCCTCGAAAGCACACCACCTGCCCACCCAAAGCCAGCACTGGCTGCACCTGGTCCTCTTTCCACAACTGCTTTTAGACAAATGTGCCACCAGAGAGAAAACTAGGAGAGTGGATTCTCTGGAAGGTTCTTAGGAACTGGGACTTCTCTTCCCTCACACACTGTAGTCAGTTCGGCAAGCACTGGCTGGGCACTGGCACAGCATTTGAATCAGATGACCGTCAGCCCCATAGCCCCCCACTCCAGTATCCCACGATTTGGCCGGGGACAGATGGCACACTTATAAACACGGGGTACACTGAGAAGTCCTAGAACCAAGGTAGACAAGGAGGCCACCCTGGCCATTCTGTTAGGCTGCAGGGTGACTCTGCCTGGTCTGGGGGATGGTCCAGCGTCAGGATTTTAGGCGCTAAAGGGTTCGTCCTTTTGGCTTAAGTCCCAAAAGACACTACAAGACCCTCCCTTGAATTCCCTTCCTTTCGTCTAGCTGGTTCACAGCTGAAAAGTCTGAAAGAGCGCAGAAAGATTGAGAACATAGTTTAGAGAGAGAAGAGGAGAGCCGGGCAGGCAGGGAGGCGCGGAGACACTCAGGACCCGCCTCCCAAGCGTGTCCCAGACTAGGGCCGCAGCTCTGTTCCCGCCAGGCCCAGGCCCCAGGCGGGGACATGCTAGACCTCCGCGGCAGCCCTTTCCGCTTCCTGCCAAGGGCAGAAGATGGCTCTTCACGCCAGGGCAACTGGCTTCCTGCTCTCCTAAATTCCCCAACAGGGTTGGCGTTCATGGAGCTATTTTCATACTTGTGACAGATGAGAGCTCCTGGCCCCACACCCCCACCCTGGGGTCACACAGGAATGATCTTTAAACAGAAGAGAAAAAGTTATTTTAAAATTACGGTGTGTGACCCAGAGAGATGACCATAGAGCCCCTTCGAGGGGCTTTCTCGGGGCTTTTTAAGACCAGCGATGAAGCAGAGCAGAACAGGCACGCACTGCGGCCTGCCGCCTGGCCCTCACTTCTCACACCCTTGCTTGCCCCCTTCCCCGACCTGGCCTGCAGCACCCACGGCACCTCTCTCAGCTGCGGAATTTCCATCCCTCCAAACAGCCAGGTGTCCCCTCCGCCACATCCCATCCACAACCTGACACCTTGAGTTCTGTCAGCTGCAGCCCTGGCATCCCTGCTCCGCTCACACACTGCCATCCTCCTCACCTGCCCCATCCTGCTCTGTCCCCCCTGCCACCCTCCATGTGCCAATGGAAATGCCACTGTGGCTAGCGGAGGCTCCTCTCCCTTCCAGAGTCCGTGTGAAATGCGCTCTGTGGCGGGCTGGGGAAGGGGGCACAAGATCTTCATGAAGCCCTGGAATGTACCACTTCCCCCTACAGACCCTCCCTCACCCAGAGGGGACAATGAAGGTCATGTTTATTTGCCCCTTAATGCAAACCAGCATATTACCCAGTAACATTCCATATTGACATGTCGGTTGCCTATTAATTTTGCTGTGAAGTGCACCTAACTTCCCCTTATCTCTCGTTGCCGTTTACCCCGGGTCCTGCATTGTGTTACCGTGGGCGTGGGGGCAGCGGGTGCTATTGATCATGGTTCTTAATACAAGATAACTAGACTTCTTCGGCCCTCCATGCGGGTTGGCTGCCTGCTGAATGCCAGGTGAGAGGTTTAGGCACTTTCGTGGGTGGATGAAATTGGCCTGGGCACAGAGGGCTTCCATTCAATCTCCTTGGGGCTGACTACTTGCTCTGGTTCCCTGGAACCTCGTGTCCATCTCTCCCTCTGCCCTGGAGCCTGGAATTCTAGAATCTGGGTTTCAGTTCTAGCAGATGTGGACTGAGAGCCCGATCTTTGCCCTAGCTCAGCCTCCCCCTCCCACCGTGTCTCTCAGAGGTCCCCAGGTTCCCCCAGGGTGTGCCAGCGAGGCAGGCCATCAGGGCCCCAAAAGGTGGGACATCCCAAGGCTGCAGGTGCTCTGTGGATGCCACCAGTAAAGGGGACAATAGCACACAGTTCATTCCCATCCTGCCACTGCATCTTCCCAAATTCCCAGCACGCCCTTGTCACCACGCTGAAGGCGCCTCAGGGCCATGTCCTTTTGCACACCTGCTCCTTCCTATTGATCACCAGGTGGGAACTGCCTAGATCTCCTCCTTCCACTGCTAAGGAAGAGAAAACTATAAGAGAATGGGAGAACTGGGGGGCACCTGAGCAGTCATTTCATACAGCCACGCCTTCCCCAGGTTTTGCAGAGGAGGAAACTGAGGCTGCCAGGTGCTGAGTGACTTGCCCCTGAGCACACAGCTCCCAGTATAGTCAGAGCAGGGACCAGGCCATTCTTCCATGGCACTCAGGTCGCCTCTGCTCACCGACCCAGCAGACTGGGACAGCTCCTCTTGGCCTCGCACTGTAACTTGATGTGACCTAAGCCAATGGGAAGACAGATGGACTTGCTTCCTGCATCCTTCCAAGGCCCTGACCTGAAAGGAATAGAAATAGAAAAGAAATAGCCAATAGCAGGTGGGCGCGTCCTGACCAGCTACCATGTGCTTTCCTTCCTCGCTGCAGGGGGAAGATGGCTTACCAGTCCAGGGCTGCTGGAACAAGGTAAGGCTTCCCAGTGGCTTGCTGTGCCTCAGGGGCGCAGGTGTCCTTAGGGCTCTGTTCTCAACAGTGTGATAAGCATGCAGTTTCCATCCTGGGCCTTTCTGCAGATGAAGCAGTAAGACGTGGGTCGAAAAAGGAAAGATCCCAAAGGCAAGGCTCCCATTAAACATCCCACGCGCTGTACACACTTGGAGAATGTTTAAAAATGCTTTTTAAGGCATCAGCAAACCCAGTGTATGGAATTTCCATGTAGCCACACAGATGACATCTGTGTGCTTTGTGTGATTCTATACAGTACCTTTCTTCCAAGGAGCTCTAGACCTTGTTTTAAAATTAATAGTCATTAGCTATTCTCATAGTGTTCATCTGAGGTCATTTAATCCGTATGATGACATTTATCCAGATGCAAGAAATCTAAATTTCTTAAACTATAAATCCACATGGCTCCTATCCCTCCACATAGAGACTGGCCAGCTCACTGCTCCACCCTTCCCTTGAACGTAAGCTGTCAGAGCTTCATGCTTCCACACATGCGACCTGCAGCCCAGAATTCCTAACAATGAGCTTTCATTTATTCACACTTGCCTTGGTATTTGCCATCATCCAAGACATCTGACCCCACAGGGCTGTGCCCCTGCACACAACCACCCCACTCAGCCACAGCCCCCAACACACAGGGCTCCCCAGCCTGACCTGGGCCATCGGTTTGCTAATCCAGGAGCCCAGCGAGGTCCCCAGCCAAGGTAACAACTGCCATGCTGTCCCACCACAGCCTGCCTCCACCCTGCCCCCCCGATCAAAGACTTTTCCTCATAACAGGGCTGGAGACCCCAACCTGTCCCAGAGTTTGTGCTTAGCTAAGCCGGTCCTGCCCCAGTGACAGCAGGGTCATACCACCAATGAGATGAATATACTCCTATAGATAATAGGCTAAATGCCCAGAATCTTATTAGTTCCTGGGGTTGTGTAAAAGTAGTGAAACCACCAAGACCCCAGGCTCTTGGAGCACCTACTTACCCAGGTACCTAAGGCATCCCTCGCCAGAGAAAGGAGAGCTCAGCACCCAAGGCAGATGCCTCCCCAAGAATCTATCCCTCCAGCTGTGCCTCGCCATCTGGCAAGTTAAAGCTCTACAGAGGCAGGTAAGAGGAGTGTCGAATGAGACCCCTTGCCCTCTGAGAACAAGATTTTCTTCTTCAAGGTTGCTGATGGTCAGGGAATAGAGATGATTGCGCTTTGCAGGGGAAGAACAGCCACTATCTAGAGCTACGGTGTCTTGGAGAAGCACTAGAGAGCCTCACGCCTGTTGGTGCCTACCATAAATCCAGTCTAGGATGCTCAGTAATTCAACTGCCATGCCTCCAGAGGCACCATAGACAGAAAGTGCCCTCTAGTGGCCAGGAAAGGGAGTGACTGGAAGGAGAAAATGGTTTCCCACGCTCAGGGTGCAGACTGTCAGCCCATCCAGAACTCCCATCCAACCCAGGACAAGATCTGCCTCCTTTCACACAAGGGCAATGAACATCCAGAGACCCACTGACATTAACTCCATGTTGTTTTGTGTTTGTTTTTGTTTTGCAGTGATGCCTCTAACCTGGGATTGGCCTGTGTGTGTGTTTGTACATAGAATATTTATTTTTATACAGTTTTTACTTTTTGAAAATGCCTGAAGTATGATGCATCTTACAGATTATTAAAAAAGTAAAAACCTGCATATTTTGTACAGAAAATACCAACCTCTCCTCTTTTGTTTACAAGATGTTTTGTATAAGTCTGTGACTCTAATACACTTTTTGTTTCTGATACGGTCATATGTTTGCATGATATTTGTGCACACTTATTAAGTATTGAAACTTAATAAATTATTGTGTTGTGGTGCCAAAGGGAGCCAACCAGCACGAAGGTGCTGGCTAGGCTGTGTGTGAATCCACAAAAACATGAAGATCTGTGGTGTTTGCCAAACCAGGTGTGTCTAAGAATATTTTAAACTCTGATGGATTTCATTATTAAAAAAGTGAAACATAGCAGTTCATGATCCTGATTAATCATTAAATTAAACACATTATTTCTTGTGAAAGCAGGAAGTCCCCGACACAGCTCTCTGAAGTGTAATGTTTTGAAATGTTAAGTCCAACAGAAGGAGGGAGGGGCTACGTTAAGCAAAGTCTGCGGTGACATATTCCAAGTTCATTACGGCGTCCTTTGAGCACTTAGGGTTAAGTTGTGCTGAACGCCCGCCCCCTGCAACCCCTAGACTTACAAAGGGCTCTTTGCTACTGCTTTGGTTTTTTCGGTACTTTTTTGTTTTTCTTCCTTTGAGCCACAGCCACTAGTGTCAGCTATTGCTGTTGGTGGCTGTCATTTGATATAGATTTGCAAGGTCCACTCACAACTAGCAGTTGAAAAGTTTGCCTCACCTGCCATTTCACTCCAACAAAGAACAGTCAGAAAACAGTCAGGAATCTGGGCCAGACTGGGTCAACCTGAAGCTACTTTTGTTTTTTAAGAAATAGAGTTTTACTGCTGTCTCTTCACAGTACCCTGCTTAGTAGAGGTCTCAGGAAACCTATTTTAAAGACGAAAGAATTAACTATGGTGTAGCACACAAGTTTATTGTTAGATACTTTACAACATAAATCGGTGCTTCTAAAGGTCTTGACAATAACAACTACTTGAGTTCAAATACCCTCCTCGCTTTGCCTACATTTCATTTTTCTTTCTGTACCCTCCTTGGCAGGCAGTACAGGCAAACTTCACTCAGACTCTGTCCACAAGCAGTCCCAGGAACGCTGAATTCATGGGCTTCACCTCCTGAGCCCCCTGCCACGCTGCAGGGCGAGGTCTCACTCACGAACTCTTGTGCCAGTGCTGCCCAAAGCCCGGGGGGCCGTGCCAGCGTCCTTACTCTAAATGTCCACTCAGATATTTTGGAAATAGACATCGTGCCCCTCTGAGTCTTGGCTTCCTCCTTTGAAAAGTGGAGCACTTGAACTAGAACTGACCTCCACGGTCACCAAATGGAACTCATCCACCCCCTCCCCAAGTCAGGGACCCAGGCCCAAGCCGCCAGCTGGCATAAGCTGCTTTCCTACCGAGGGACAGTTCCAGGAGGCTGCGCTTTCCCAGCGATCCCGAGCCTGCTCCCGCCACCCCGTCCAGGGCCAGCCTCTCCAGTAGCACAGCCCAGGCCCAAGTACTTTCGGGAGCTGAGAAAATATTTTATTTTCATTTCTTTTAAATTCAGAAGAAAAAATATATCATCATGAATTCAGGCAGGGTTAGATTCACCTTTCTAGCAGAGCAGCAGTCATAAAATATAATTTCTTCTCTATTTTATGGCAGGAGCCTACAGAGGCCCTGCCCACGTCCTCTGCTGCCTGAGATGTGCTTTCCCCTGGCCCCCACCGGGCTCTGCCAACTAACTCCACCTCCAACAGCACCCCCCTCGCCACTTCCCTTGCTTCCCCACCCCATCTGAGATCCTGCGGAGGCAGAGCGTAACCTGGCTCTTCTAGGCCCACCGCCTCATTTCCTTTGAGGCTCTCGCTGGAGGGATCAGAACCCACTGATGATCTGGAAATAGAGCCCAGCATCCACTGGAAGGCTCCGGAAGCTGAGATTGTGTGTTAGCTGCATGCCCTGGGTAACTGCAGCCAACAGAAACCTCTTACTGTGTCTCAGTCCCGCTGTTATCCATTTGCTTATTACACCTCAGCTAATCCTACGAGGGCCTGAAGTCCCTCACAATAATATAGATAATAAAATAGAAATATGTGCAAAGAAAAGTTGAAAATTCAGTCAAGGAAAATAAGTACAGAGGAGGTGGCAGGAGAGCCCCAGATAATCAGCGGAAGGGCCTCGGCGCAGTTCACTGCAAGCTGCCCTGTGCTCAGAGAAAAAATGAAACCATTTATCTGCCCGGTGCTCAGAGAAAAAATGAAACCATTGATCTGGTCTCAGCGCCCAGGCTGCCCTCCTGAGGAAGGTGGCAGTTCCCAGAGGTTTGGCCCCATGTGTGCAAGCACATTGTCTCCCCGAGTAGCCCGGGGCCTCCTGCACCCTCAGCCGGGACCTCCAGTCACAGGCTCAAGCAGCAGCCCCCATGCCCACCCTCCTGCCCCCGGGGACCCCTGGGCCTCTCCACTGGAACCTCAACTCAACTCTGCATCCAGTGCGGTGCGAGGAGATTAGAAATAGGGAAACAAACGTCAGGAAGTTGGCGGAGAGGCTGGGGCTCAGAACCCAGCCGGCAGCCCCCGCGGATAAGGGATCATCCAGCGCTGGGAGGGGAGGCGCAGGTGGGGGGCAGGGGGCAGGCAGCAGGGACGGGCACCTGGAGGGGCTGGTGGCCAGAGAGGGCTCACAGAGGGGAAAGACCCTCAGGCCCTCCTGGGGACTTGCAGCACCCCCTGTTGAGAACTGCCAGCCCAGGAGTGAGCAGTGCTCCCAGCCCTGCCTGGTGGGACAAATTACCAACTTACGGCCCTGTTGGTGACCGTTCTCTGTGAACTGGAAGGCCCTGGTCTTGAGAGCACTGCCTTCTCTGGTTCTTTCCCTGGTCCTGGGCTTGGTGCTCTGGCACAGGGGACATTTTGTTGCCCAGCACTCTCTACCTGGAGACTTGCAAACACCTGGCTTGACAAAGACTGAGCCAGTGCCCCGTAGGTGACAGTGTAACAGTGTGACCTGGGCCCGAATAATGACTCTCGCCAAGGTTGGCAACTTGTACCTCTGCAGTCATGTGAGCCAAAGGAAGAGATGGCCCCTGCACACACACACACTCACACACTCGCACACTATCTCAGCCCCTCTGTGCTTCCTCCCTGCCAGGCCCACACTGGCCTCCGTTCCCAGGGTTCTGACTTCACGTGGCAGAATATAGTGCCACGGACATTGGGAGGGTCAGGCTAGACCATGAAAAAGGTGGGACAGTAGTTAAGAGGCTCAGCTTCTAGTCCTTTCTCCACTACCTGGAGCAGGGCAACTTCCTCCAGGTGTCACACTCCTGAGTGTCCAATAAGGAAGTTATCTCTAATGACCTCTGACTCACCGAAACCTTTTGATTCGGTCAGCTCCTGGGAGCATCGGGATGCTGGAGCATGCCCCACCCCTCCACCTAGAGCACCTGGCTGTGTTGGTATTATGCATGGAGCTGGCATTGCAAAACTGTGTGGCATGCGTGTGCTTCGTAACTCTGAACAGCAGCATCCCAAAGGGGCCTGGCCACACAGGAGGAAGTGACAGGGTCAGCTCCCCCAGGGCAGGCATGGTGGCAGAGGGTGCTTCTCACATTGGTGTCTGGCTGCTGAATTCATCAGACTGAGCTCTACTACAGGTCTAACCACCTGGCTTGCAAGGGGTCCCCAAAGCCCTACCAATGTCAGGGACACTGCTGCTTGGTCCGTTCTCCCAGCCTCCCTCATCTCAGGCTCTCTGCACCCCTTTCCATCGCCACCCCACACTCCACAGGTTGGCTTCCCCCTGCCCTGCACCTGGGCACATTTTCAGGCAACTTGAGACATCGAGCACATAAGACTCCACATCCTAGAAAAGGAGAGGAGAACAGGCTGCTGGTGTGTGGATCAGAAAGGAGGAGACACTCATGGAGATAGAGAGCAGAGAAGGCAGGCAGGGGTGGGGACCTGCTGCTCATTTCTCCAAGGAGAATTGTCAAGCATGGAGCTCCTTTGAAGCAGCAGGCTCCTCGTTCCAGTGGCGGTAGGCAGAGGGGGGCAGAGAAGGGAGCTGGGTTTTCCATACTAAGTCAGAATTCTCCACACGAAGGGATCCTCTGGTTCTTAGAAAAGCCCAGCCCCTGAAGAATAGCCAAGATCTGTTGACACAGCATAGACAGAGGCAGAACTGAGCTGGGAACAGGCTTTAGCACAGGCTGGGCCTTTCCCAGGGGCGTCCCAGGGTCCACTCACTGGCCCCTACATGCCCCGTCTGCTTTCCCATCCCCACACCCATGCCCATGCCTGGCCTTAGCCTGGAATGGCCTTTTTTCTCACCTGTCAAAAGTCTACCCTTCTTTCAAGGCCCCGCTTAGACACTATGGCCCTGGGGAGACTTTTCTGGGCTCCTCAGTTGGATGAGTGCCCTTCTTGGAACAAGCAGGAACTCTGTGTTCTTTGCTCCCTCCACCGTCCAGTAGAGTGGGAAAGCCGGTCTTCCATATGAGACAGTGAACTCCTAGAGGGGAGGGACTTTTTTATTCATTAGGCTCCCTATGGGCCTAGCTCAGGTCTCCCCCCCACCCCGGCCAAAGGTCCGGGCTCGTAAACATCTATGACCTGATGAATTATCAACCCACTTTATTGAGCAACTACTATGCACATGCAGTGGGAAGGGAGGGGTGGGCTACTAAGGACTGTAAGGCACAGGAGCTAACAGGGATGCCGAGCAGTGCGAGGACTATGTGCTTAATGAGGACACTGTGGTGGCCAGCATGGCAGGAATGAAGAGAGAACCCAGTCGGCCCAGAGGGAGGAGCTGGCTGAATCACACAGGCAGTCCCCCCCTTTGCCGCATTCTCCTTTCCCTGATAGAATCTTCCAGGGAGCACAATCCTGGGCCACACTCGCTTCTTGAATCAGGGGATGGCAAATGGAATTGTGTTGGAAGGAAGGGGGCAGAGAGGGCAGGTCCAAACTGGGAGGGCTTTGGACTTCTGCCAAGGTCAGCTGATTCTGTGGGATCACCCGGTCCAGGAGGCACCCCCTTGTGCCAATCGCCCACGGGGTTCTGTCTTAAACATCCCCTTCTTTATACCTCCTCAAGGGCCAGAGTCCATGGTTAGTCGCCAAGAAGTGAAGCCAGCCAGCCCAGAGCCTTGGGGAAAGCGCCTTTCCCTGGAGGAGGGAGAAGACGGAGCTGCCCTTGGACAGAGGGTCACAGGCTGAACCTTTCCCGGGGGCCTGGCTCTAGGAGGTGATCAGAGGGTGACCACCAGAGAGCACGGCTGTCTGCTCTCACCAAGAGCCAGAGCCCAGCTAGAAGAGCAAAGCTGCGCACCTGTCTCCCCCAG